AAAAAAAAAAAAAAAAAAAAAAAAAAAATATATATATATATATAAAAAAAGAAAGAACTAAACAACACAATTCTAAACATAATTTTTCCTTTTGTTACAATATTATATCGGTATTTATATTTTACATATTATTTCTTTGTTCTTTTGCCGTAAAATGGCAATTCTTAAAAATATAGTTAATCGTACGCATAATCGCATAAAATTTTTCATTCTCTTTCCTTTTCAATAAATCGCTTAAAAGAGGGATTTTAAAAAATATAAATATATATATGTAAACACAACAGCAGAATTGCAATATCCTTTCGGAGGCGGTCTTAAAAGAGAAGTAAGTAGTGACAAATGATGGAAAATTTTCAATTTTTACACTAAATTTATACAATTACTGCTATAAACTTAATACATGTTTCGTGACAAAATTTAAAAAAAATATATTAAAATTTTTATTCGAAAATTTACTGCTGCTGCTGCTATTGCTGTTGTTGTTGTTTGCCGGGAGAATTGGAAAAAAATTGATTCTCAAGTAAAAAAAAAGTTCAATGAAAGTTTTTTTATAAAAGAATTAAACTAAACTTAATATTATATGTGTTTAGAAAAAAAAAAAAAAAAATTGCAGAAAATTCTTAAAAATTACACAAATTTCTTAAACACTGCGTTATATATATATATATATGTATATATATGAAAGTGAAGTTGTAAAATTACAACTCTTACTACGAAAATCTAACTTCTGAGTCATTAATCAATTTTCAGCTATACAATCTAGTTTTCTACGTATAGTTGGCTCTTTGCGATAAAATGGTGGTATATTTTAATTGCTCTCCTTTTTTTGCTTGGCTGTGTTTTCAATAAAAATGCGTTTCAAAATACAGGACAGTTACAAATTGTTACACACATGGTTCTAAGTTACTATTGCAGTTTTTCTGTTGATAGATGTTATTATTATTTTTTTATTATTTCATTTTAATAACTCTCTTCTTCTGCTGTTTTCTTCTAAGAACTACTCCTGCGAACTTCGTAAATCGTAAAATGTTGTACATATGCACACACGTGAATGCGTATGCAGTCAAGTAAACTGAATGAGAGGGAAAGGGGGGTTGGTGATATTCTCTCTGTTACAATAATATGTGTCTATTTTTTCTCTCCTCCATAGAACACTTTTCTGGTAGATCTTCTGTTTCTGTTCTTCTTATTAATTAATCGTATAATGCATTGTTTGATCTTCTCTTCTTCTGTTCTGGGGTCATATTATCACATTTCTCTCTCACTCTCTCTCTCTCTCTCTCTGTCCTCTTCCTGTCTCTTCTGTTTACTTTACCATACACATTTCAGAGCTGGCCTTAATATATCACACATAACATCATCACCTGTGTTTTTATCTTTCTCTCTCTCTCTCTCTCTGTCTCTCTGCGCGTCCTCTCTCAAGCAAACTGTCAATGCTTACATTTAATATAGATTCTGACACTGCGGTTTCCTTTTTTTACTTTCTCTCTCTCTCTCTCTTTTGTTTTATCTGCTTTTCTTTCACTTAGAACGAGAACTCTCTGAACTGTTTTTGTTGCACACTGATCTGGTAGTTTAGTTTATTATATTATTTCTTTTTTTTGATTGATTGATTGATTGATTGATTGATTGATTGATTGATTTGGAGGGAGTGTAGGGCCTTACATTTTACAACATTGCTTGCTTCACTTATTGATTGTTTGATATTGACTTTGAATATAGATCTGTTTTAACTGGTTCAAAATGATCACCTACAAAAAGTCATCATAAGAATAAAAAGAATTTCGTTCAATCAAATGTACATATATAAAGCAAAAAAAAACAAAAAAAAAATTTTTTCTTGAAAACTATGGAAAAAAATGAAAGCTAATATGAGATAAAGTCTAATTACCAAATAGCATATGAAAACAAAAAAAAAAAAAATCACTTGAGACAAATCGATAAGGGAAACTTAATGAACGTTTTTAAGGCAACAATGATAACTTTCTGCAAAACGTCCGCTATGAACACAAACAAACTTATGATCAAAATCAAAAGGAAAAAAAAATTGTACCATTTTTAAATAATTTTGAATTTTTAATCGAAAAATATATAAAATAACATAAGAAAACCGCAAATCATTTCTTATTCATTAAATTTGGAAGTCAGTCTCACGGGAAGAATTCACTCGCCCGCCCGTCACCGTGTAAATTTGAAAATACATTTTAACATGGTTTTTTTCTGATAGTAAACGATTGCATAACTGCATAAGATTTGTTTTAATTTCTTATTTGAGAAATTATCGCCGAAATTGTTCATCACAATTACGCGATCATTCCAAAAGAGAAGTCAGTCTCATTTGTTGAAAGAGATTGTCATGTACTGTAATCCCGTTCGGCTTCTAGACGCAGAAATGTGACAAGTTAGTTTGGATGTGAACGTCATCCGTTCCGTACCGACTTCAGGCAAACTATTCTCTATCTTTAGTCCCCTGCAGATGTCATTGACTTTCGAGTCTTCAAGCATTATTCAAAACGGTTCTGGGAAGACTTGGCCGAATCTATTGTGTTGGCCTTTCTTGTCAGATAACCAACAATGTATTGTTGTACATCCATTAAAATTTGCAGTGCAGTTTATATATGCGATGACTAAAGGGAACTGATATCAATGGGGTTTTAAATTAATGTTCTTTTTATATTTTTCGCTTTGCTACGGCTTGTTTGGCCTAAGCATAATTGCTGTCAATTATTCCAGATGGGGGAAAAAATGGTTATGTTACATAAAGTAAACAATGAAATTATCTATTCAAAATTTTGAAAAATAAATTAAAAATAAATATTTGTAATCATTTGTGTTCGTTTAACTGGTTATGTTCACGCTTAAGCTCGGACATGTTCGTGCATTCGTCGGTCATAATGTTCACAACAAGTACTTAAGTCATGCGTAAGATAGTCATCGCACCAATTGAATATCATTTCAATTTAAATATAAATCATGTCTTTGCCTGTCGTCAGGCATTTTTAGTCACAACATTTATATGAAGGAAAGAAAGTGTCTTTCACCTTCTGTAGCGGTAAGTCAAAAAGTCAATTGGATTAGAATTACCTTTTTTTTTAATACCTTCGGTTGTTATTACCACCACCGCCACCACCACTTCCCATAGAACCACTACTGTTGTAGCCTGGGTTGTTACCACCAAAGTTACCAGTATTACCTTAAGAAACAAAACAAAATTTACATGCATTCCCATTAACCAACTGACTGGAATAGATTCTTTAAAAAGATTCATTTCTTCTATCTCTTGTTGTTTGTAGCAAATACTTTTTCATCAATTTTTCATAGAAAAACTCAAAATCAACACTAATATAATATTTGCATTAATTTTATCTAACAGTCATGAAACGCCGAATAATCTTATTGAATGATTTACTCGGAGCTGGGACTGTAATAACTAACAGTTACATATATATAGTAACAAAAATTCACTTTTCATTATAAGTCAGATGACTTACTAAGCAGATTTGAGTATTATTTCTCTTTAGATTCGGACAAAATGTAGCATGATATAGAATTTGAACGGTAACTAAAATTTCCAATACGAGTATCGGTCATTTGAGTCAAGATGTCAGGGACCTATCGTAGATACAAATAGCACTAAGTATTCTCTGCCTTTGCCCTTAAGGAAATGTGGCGAGGCTGCGTGTTATAACGAATATAATGTGTAAAATTCGCCTAACATAGCAAAAGCCGACGCCTGAAAATTTCACTCTCACAGTTTTTTTAAATAAAATTGCAAAAATGTAAGATGCATTTAGCAATTAATTGTGTCAGATAACTGTGATATCATTCCATTTAGATCATTTAGATCCATTTTCATATTTACTCACCCTTACTGCCGCCAAAGTTGCCGCTGTTATAAGGTTGCATGCGATTATTAGGAAAGTTGCCGCCGCTCCGTTGAGGTCCGCCACTGTAACTTTGTTGATAGCCGCAGCCAAAATCGTTATTTCCCCAATTGCCGCTGTTGCCGGACCCATTATTTGGGCCACCAAAGCTGCCCCCGCCGCTACTATTCCAGTTACCGTTTCCGTTATCCCAAGGGCCCATATTGTTACCACCCCATCCACCATTACCATTATTATAACTGCTACCGCCGCCGCCGCCGCCACCGCCGCTATTGAAATTACCACCCCAATTGTCATTGCTGCCGCGGTTATTCCCCCAACCGCCACCCATGCTACCTTGATTACCCATCATGTTACCACCGCCCATGTTGCTTCCACGGCCCATATTACCGCCCCGGCCACCTCCACCTCCACCGCCTTGACGATTCATATCCTGCCTGGGCAAAGCTTTTTTCACATCTAAAGTCTTTCCCTTAATAACGTGAGTTTTTTGCACTAAACATAAAAAGAAAAGAAGAAGAAATTATAAAACAAACTAAAATGTATAGAAATTTTATATTAAAATTATATAAATACATATGTCTACATTAACACGTCTACAGCGCCGATTTGGGCAATGCTAAGTGGATACTAGTCCTTTGAGCAAGAAAACTGTAATCATTACTATAAAGTCTTGCAATTCATTGGTTTGATTAGTCCTCGGTCGTGATTGCTATACTTTAGATTATTAGATATATATTTGATCACACAATGACGAAGATCAAAGATGCAAGGAGAAGGTTCGCTAGGCATATGGACTTCTATTCTGAATATTTGTTATTAATTTTCGAAATCACTTTCCGCGGGTATACCGCAAAAATGGCATTTTTTCTTTTTATTAATAGTCCAGTTTTTAAAATAAGTGAACATCTTCGTATTTTCAAACTTTATCTTCGGCATATGCTAGCAGTCAAAATTACGAATAACAATAAAAGACGAAAAACATGTGGTGTGGCGCGTCTAAAAAGACTCAGGTTTCATATATCTATACATACAAGCGAAGTAATATGAAATGGTTAGCATACCCGGTTTGCTCTAACTAACACACGTTACTTATTTTCACATATTCTCCAATAAGCACATTATCATGAATTTATATATAATTAACAAGGGCATAATCACTGCTAAGTAACTATTATAACGGTCGTTGAAATGCCAAATAACATATGTTCTATATACTAATAAAATATTTTTTCTCTTTGAAAACTAATAAATAAAAACGTGTGCACTGTAGAGAAGATAACCTCAATCTTAGAAAAATATATATGTATGTGTATATTATGTATATTATGTATATAGATTTGTGTGCACTTACAGACTATTTTATCAACAGGATCGTAGTCGTCGTATTCAACAAAAGCAAAACCACGTTTTTTACCCGTATCCTTGTCCATAACAATATTTACTTCCACGATATTGCCGTACTTGCAAAAATAATCTCTTAGACATTGTTCATCATGTTCATCCTTAAGCCCACCTACGAATAATTTTTTCACAGTAGCGCCCGCATGAGGGTTGTCTATATCTTGACGCGGTACGGCACGTTTTGGCTCAACAACGCGACCATCTATCTTGTGTGGGCGGGCATTTTGGGCGTCATCAATCATTAATGACTTGGAATATGTAATGAAACCAAAACCACGCGATCTTTTTGTGCGTGGATCTTTCATCACAACAACATCTACAATTTTACCCCATTTTTCAAAATGCGATTTTAATCCATCATCAGTTGTACGATAATCTAAGCCGCCAATAAATAATTTACGTAAATGTTCTGGTTCAGTAATTTGCTCCTATTAAAAAGAAATGAAACATTTCATTGTATCGATTTTTCCACAAGCACTTATGATTTAACAAAATGGCGGTGCTTCTACATATAATTCAAATTCTAGAAAATGCTAATATACTGCGCATTAAATTTTCCTACTTACATCATCGCTGTCTTGGGAATTATTTCCATTTTGACTATCATTCTCATTTTGTTCGTCTTTCATTTTTATTATTAATTAAATATTAGCACTTTCAACTTGAAAACTTTACTAAAATCTAAGTTCTCTTTTTTTCTTCTAAGTAAACCTCACAAGCAAACGATGCTTCAATGTGCTTCGTAGAACTAGAATGAAAAAGTAATGGCGACCATTGACAATTCAGCTTGTGTACATGTGAAATATAAAACGGAACGTACCAGAGTTACCAACACAAATCATCATATTGCAGTCTTTTAATGATTGCCAATTTCATTAAAAAAGTGCTTGATTTCTTTTCTATTTTAGCTAAATTTTAAATATTTGAAATACTTGATATGTAATTTTCAAAGATTTTGAAAAATAATCATACTGTAGATTAGGAATTCGGTTTATAACTAAGCATTAGACTGAAACGCATTAGCAAACGAAATAGCAGCATTTCAAACTTGTCTAGAAAAATGAAGATTATAAAAATAGCGATTATAAAAAAAAAATTTCTTTTTCTAAATTTTTTCATTATCATCTTTTTTTACTTAACTATCTTCTTACATACGGGAATAAAGTATATTCATCGTCTAAGATACTTGACTATACAAGCTACATTGCTTTAAAATCCTCAATCTAAATAGGAAAGCAAAAGAATTATCCGTAGCGTATCAAAAAGTGCAATCGCCTCTTTTATAATCCAACAAATTTTCGTAACGTTTATAAATCGGTTCGATTGTGTAGATAAAGTTTCGCGTATCTTGGCAACACTACATGTACAGTAACTACGAAAAAGAAAATTTATATCCTCTTGCATTTTGTACGGTAGTTTTACGGCACCTAGTTTAATCCAATTAAGGAAAATAGAATAGATATTCTTGAGAACATTATAAAAAGCAAATATGATTAAACAAGGACAAATAAATAATAAATATCAAATGGGAGATAATGCTGAGGTAAGCAAAATAAAATTATACCAAGTTTCATTCATAGGTTCTAAGTGCAAAATTTAAGCGTTGTGCGATGACGAATACAATATGGCGCCGTTGTCTCTATCGTTGATTTCGCTTGTATGCTAGATACTAAAAAGTTGTTTGTTTGTTGTAGGCAATAAAAATGGAGGACATGGATCATCTGCGCAAAATGTTTCTTGGCGGTTTGTCAACCAATTCCACAGAAGACTCACTTCGAGAGTTCTTCAGTCAATTTGGCGAAGTAATCGATGTGATTGTCATGCGAGATCCTACAACGAAACGTTCCAGAGGCTTTGGTTTTATAACTTACAAAAATGCAACGATGGTTGATAAAGCACAAGCGGCTAGACCACATATTGTCGATGGAAAGTGAGTTAGCGAATTTTTTTAATGTTTATTATAAATATGGTAAATATGACTTTATTTATTTATTTATTGAAGATCAATTGACTCGAAACGTGCTTTACCTCGGCCTGAAGTAAGCGGTGATTCAACAGTGAAGAAAATATTCGTCGGAGGTCTTAAGGAATACCACGACGAACAATCTCTGAAAGAACATTTCCAGCAGTTTGGCAATGTTATTAGCGTAAAAGTTTTAACAGACAAAACTACAGGACGTAAAAGAGGTTTTGCCTTCGTCGAATTTGATGATTATGACGCAGTTGATAAGGCTGTCTGTAAGTACTTTGCGTTCAATTATAAATTGTGTTATATATTTTCTTATGATGTGGACTTTTAAGAACAGTTTTTCACCACCACCATAGCAATTGAGAATTGTAATGTTCTTTAAACACTATCTCCCGCCTAGATAAATAAAAAATAGCTTTAGAGGTTTAATAAGTAATGTACTTTATTTAGAAATGAGCCTATTCCGTTTAGGGAAACGTCCAGCGATCACAATATTTAAAGTGCTTTAATTTTGATATCTTTATATGGAGGTCAAGTCGCATAGTGAACATTTTAACCGTTATTCCGTTTACAAACTGTAAAAATGTGCATCGGGGATTAGGTTTTATTTAGTATTGTCGCTCGTTAAATCGAAAAAATTGAAATGGAAAAGTGAAAACATGATATAGAAACTTCGTAGAAGTTAATAAAGAGTGAATATGATTTGTCACCAGTAGCTAAAGAGTTGAAATATAGGGGCAATAATAATAAATTGGTATAGTGCATAACCAACATTCTTTCTAAGGATTTCCTTATATAACAGTAACTCCCTATTTGATGAAAACTTGCGATCTTTTACAAAATGATTAGGAACATTTGGCGTCGAAGCTCATGCTGATGCCACTCGCATTTTAAAGCCAGTTTTTTATCAATCAAAACTGAAATAATTAACAACAAGTCGAGAGTTTTATTTATATACTTCGGATTTTATATCAACTAATAAATAGAATTTATATGAAAATCAAAATTAACTTTTCAGTGCATATAAACCACGTCATTAAATACGTGAAGGTGGACGTTAAGAAATCAAAATATAAAGAAGAACTTGCCAAAAAATTAGCAAATCAACAAGGGGCCGCTACTGGTATGATTCAAGCCGGCGGTGCGGGTATATCTTCTGTCACAGCCACCTATCAGCAGCCACCAAATGTAGGCACTGCCTATAATCCTCAAACAGCTTATGGGTACGCAAACGCGCCAACAGCGACATATAATGGCTGGGGAGGTGCATACGCTCCGCCGCCAGTTGCCGCTTATCCCCAGCAAACGAATGCCTATGGCAATTACGTTGCAGCCCCACAGAATGGAACTGCGCCTGGTTGGAATGCTACACCTTATGCGACACCTGGAGCTAATTGGCCACAAAATGGCTATGTTCCGGCTGTGCCAGCGACGGTACCCGTTGGTCCCGCCGTTGCAGTTCCGTCAGCGGCTACGGCTACAAGCGGTTGGAGCGCAGCCCCAACTGCAAATGGTACTCAAAGTTTTGGAACTTACCAGCAAACCTATAATGGAGGACCTCAAAAAGCCGGCAACTTGCAGGGTAATCGCATGAATCCGTATAGTGTGTCGTCAGCACCCAATTACGGTAAGCATTAATTGATTAAACGAGTGAGTAATGAAACCAAAGTCACTTTTGTCCATTTTGAAAACAATATACATTCATTTATATAGATATACTGTATATTTTTTATACCGTTATTTTTTGACTTCCTATTAACTCTGTTTTGATATATTTATTAATTTTGTAAGCATTCCTTCTATAAACATATATGTACATATACATATATGCATATGCATGCATATGATATATGTATGTCTGTGTATATATTATATATGTGTTGAATATAATAAGTAAATATTATAAAATCCGAATTTTAAATAATTTTTATCTAACTTAATTAATTAATTAATTTTTTTTTATGCTTATGAAACTATACTTTCTTGCATAAAAATCATGCAAACTTAAAATCCTACAAACAAACGACAAGAAAATAATTTTGAAGACTGAAATTTTAATGGATTAGCTTAAGATGCTGAAAAAACGCAATTAGTTTAGAAGAAGTGACGATCAAATTGATTGCTATTCTATTTAAACATTTTAACTGGATTCCTGTGCTATCATATTTTCAAACAATCTCAAACTTCTAATCTGATCTTGCTCATTCTTGTTTTAATTCTATAGCTATAAAATTTCATAAGACTTTTTGCAGTCTTATGTCAGCTAAGCCCTACACGTTACTTCTTATTAAAATTGAAAAATTCAATTAATGTAATCTATTACTCTTGGAATAAATTCATTTAAATGAATCAAGGGTTTCGTCCTTTTGCACATTTTCAAAACCTTCTTGTGAAGGTTTTTCTTTTACCACAATTAATATTACGAACTTTTCAAGTTCTTTTAAGTAATCTTATCGATAAGAGAAAGAGAAAGAGAAAAGTGTCGCATATACTTGATCGAGGCGAGATACGTAGAAAAAGAAAATGATCAATATTTTGAAGATTCTCTATGAAGCTTTAGAAGGAATTTTAGGAATTTTTGAACTTAACCGAACGAGATTGATGAAATGAAATGGAATGTTCTCAACATTTTAATCGTATTGGGAGTGTCGACTAAATCTATTTCGTGTTCTACGTTAACGATGAATATATGCATATGATTGGAAATTTCGATGAAGTTTTATACGTGCGCTAATCACTCTGTTTGTGTATCTTCATCTAAAATCAATGATGTAAACAGGATTTCAAAGAAGACCGTCATCAGGTTTTAAGAATAAATTTAACCCACTAAGCCTCTGCTTTAATTAATTTCTTTGAAATTCACTTTGATGATTAGGACAAGGGAAATTTAGCATAAAATTATTAAATCTGATCAAGTATCTATATGGTTCTGCATTTATTTGAAACTAATACAATCTCAGGTACAAAAATATTTCCATTGACTGTAACTTGCTTATACGACTTGGGTGAAATATCGATAAGCAATTGTAAGACATCCTACAATCAGATGCGCAATAATAAAAACTTGTCCGCCGAGATCAATCATAATTGTTCTTACATTTGCTTATTGTGCAAAACGCTTTCAAATGTAAACTTAACTCGGTTGTGAAAAATTCACAGGATCGATGAAAATATATTGCAAAATACTTATTATATTTAAATTGATTGCTTACATTTTATCAAGTATTAATTTATGAAGTTGAATTATACATACATATGTATATATATATACAGATATATATATGTATAAATTTATATATATATATATATATATCAATATATATGTATAGATATGTATATATATGTATAGATTTATATATATATATATCAATTTATTGTATTATCTTATTATTATTTATTTATTATACTACATTTTTCTTTATCTTCTGTTTAGGAAATTGAAATGTTGTTTGATTGTGTATTCCTAACTACTACCATATATAAAATATATATAATATAACATATAACTCAATTACTATATATGTTCAACTTATTTAAGTTAATACTTAAATATATATGTATACATACATATGAAATATTCAAAAAGCGCAATCAATTAGTTTTCATATATATGTATTGTATACAAGTAAAGGAGAATTTATAAAAAAAAAATATATAAAAAAATCGACAAGAAAGAACATGGACATACACATATATTCACATAAACTACGCAAGGAAGGAGGATTAATGTATATATATATATATATATATATTTATTTATGTATATATATATATACTCTACATATTAAAAAGCGAATAAAAATACCACGTGGTTCATATAAAAGGAATTATCACAATAAAGTAAACTCTTAATACACACATTCCAAGTTGCCAATCTAAACCACCTTAAAAAAAAAACAAAAAAAAAAAAAAAAAGAAGAAAACCCAGAAGAGAAGAGAACAAGATTAAAATAAATAAATAAACAAATCTAAGCGAAAAGATAAAAAAGAAATGCGGATGCATATGAGATTCCTTTTCGTGTTATTTCAGCAATCAAGGACGAATGATAAAAAGCAAAAAAAAACAAAGTGCATGCACTCGGAGTAAATAATTAAAATGCTTATATCGTCAGGGGTTTGCTTCTAATTTATAATATACTAATAAAAAAAAAAAAAAAAAACCAGAGACTTATGACATTCAGTTGAAGTTGTTCAAGTTGTGAAGAAATTAAGCTAAACTTTCTACAATATATTAATGATCTTATATATATATATATATATATATACCATATATATATATATATATGTATATATATATATGTATATGATTTATAGTAATAAGCGAAATGTAAAACTCAATACACCAACTTTACCCTAAGTTTTGGAAATATATTTTATATATATATCATCTATACATATATACATAGATACGTGTTATATGTATATGTTCATCTTTTTTATGCAATAAATACATTATGAATATCTAAACTTGTTTTAATAATTTTATTTACGTACGTATATCATTCATACTTTCAACAATATTATCCTCCATCAGCATATCCTTCAAAATCAATCATATATTATCCCGCAGATATACTTGGATTCGAAATATTGAAATATAAATTTATTTTCGTATTTTTCTTAAAAATCAAAAAAAAAAAATATTCTTTACATACATATTATGTACATATACATAGCGATTTCATCTAATACATAACGTTTTTAATTTTCTTATTTAATTATGAAATAATTAAATTTTATATAATTTATTCATTCTAACCTAACTTTATATATATATAAATGAGATATATTTACATATATATATATATATACATACATTAATTTTTAATGTACACATTATATATTATAAGCATAATAATTGCTTTTTATCTCCATAAATTCTCAAATCAATGTTCGGTTAGTTTAGCGCTAACCTATCGTCCTTTCGAAATTAAGAAAACTAAAACTAATTAGGTGTTTAAATGTATATATATTAATAAAATAATATATATATATATATATATATATATATTGATTTCTCTTATTATTAACATTTAAGAATGTAATGCTTTTAACGTAATTATCCCATGGTTTAATTAAGTTGTCGTCGCTTAACTCCCATCTTTGTTTTTTTTTTTTGTTCTTACTCTGTCTCTTCGAAAAGTCATTTATTAGTTTTCTTCGGAAAATTGCTCCTATTTTCCTAGATTTACATAAGTTTTTTTTTTT